TGCGTGGCCAGGGCGGAGCTCGCCCGCGCCCGCCGGGGCGTGGCCGGGCATGCACAAGGGGCATGCACAGGGGCAGGGAGGGCATGCACAAGTCTTCTCGGCGGCGTCGAACGCGACGGCGGGGCAGGGAGGGCGCGAGCCACGCAGAACGGGAGCACGGGGGCGCTGTCGATGCCGCACACGAGGAGCACGGGCGCGCCGAGCTCGAGCAGCGCGTCTCCGGCGGCGGCGAAGACGACCGGCGCCCACGACGCGCGCCTCGACCTGCTCGCGGCCAAGGGGCTCAAGGTCAATGTCAAGGCCAACACGGGCGCGACCTGCTCTAGCTGCGACGAGGAGGTAGTCGGACGCCGCCGCGGGCAAGATGCTCGACGAAATGCCGCTCTGTTCGTGGGAGTCCAACACTGCTCGTGGGGATGCAACGAGTGGAACATTTTCGCCCCCCAGGTTAATTTTTTCGCCGGCAGCCCCTCGAGGTGCGAAAAAAATGCCTCCTGAGGGGCCAAACGACTGGAGATGTCCTAAGCCGCAGTGGATCAGGAGAACCCGTGATGCGTGGGCAGCGGGTGGCCACGAGCGGGGATCTTGTAGTGGCCATGGCCGGGGGCGGGGGCTCTCCGGGTGCTCCTCTCGGCCATGGCAGGACAGTCCACGTCGTTTCAGCACTTTTTACGCGTGTGACGTCCACGAAGATGATTTATGTTTTGTTTTTTCAGATAACGAAGATGATTTATGTGGGCTTGGATGTGGGCGGCGCGGACAGCCCACGTTCTACCTGCAGCTTTCGTGGAGACAGCCCATTTGATGAAATAGACATTCTGTTCCAGAGAGATCGTTTTCCTAATGAACTGGGCCTGAGCACCGAAAGCCCCATCAGAATCAGGCCCACGACGTTGCACCAGCTGCACCACCAGGGCGCTCTGAGTTAGTTGATTCTCAAAAAAAAAAAGTTAGTTTGTTTAGTACCACCTCGCCAGCAAGAGGAGACAGGAGAGGGAGAGGTTGCTATATAAGGAGCCCCAGGTGCACCCTTGCAACATACTTACCTGGACGGGGTCGACGACTGATCAAGAAGAGTCGTGGCCTAGGGCTAGTGGTTCACATTGCACTTGGTGGATGTGCTGGCCTACCATCTCCTGAAGTGGGAGAGTGGATATCGTAATTTGTGGTAGAGGGGGTACGTGTCCGCGCGGCCCCTACCAATTCTCTAAAATAAAATTTTGGTCTTTCAAAGCTAAATAATCGGTGGCTTTGTTCTAAATTCATGTTCAGTTTCAGCTATATCAACCTGCCCTTGCAGAATTAGTATGTGTCAAATTGCTGGCTGTTGTCTAAAAGGACCACCTGTCGAGTTGAATTGTCAAAAAAGACCGCATCTGAAACAGATTGACAAAAAGGATCAGCAGCGTGGCGGCAGGTGCGGCAGCCGACACATGGCACCTGCCGCCACAGACGCCGGCGGCAGCCTCTGCCGCCACGGGCACAGGCGGCAGCTCAGGCTTAACAGGTTTTCTCGTCCGCGCGTCAGCTGCAACGGGATGGACCGAAGTGATGAGCCATGCCGCCACGCAGCAAGGCGGCAACTACTGAGGCTGCGCGCGCTGCGACGGGCCAGGTGGCCATGCTGCTTTGTTTAATCGGGCTGGGCTATTGTTTAGTGTAGCCGCGTAAGTACGGCGGACTGACTCGAGTCGTATGAACTGCCGGCCGGAAAAAAACGACTCTATCCATTAACCCACGTTAAACCAAGTACTAGTTTTTCCAAGTTGATATGCATTTGAATGGGTCCGAGCTGCAGCTACCGCGTGGCAAGCTACTTTACGCACTGGGTGCCGCCTCTGGCCGTGGCGGCATGGCCCACCTGGCCTGTCGCGGTGCACGCGCAGCAGCAGTAGCTGCAGCCTCGTTGCGTGGCGGTCCGTCCCGTTGCAGGTGACGCGAGAAAACCTGTTAAGCCCGGGCTGCTGCCTGCGCCCGTGGCGGCAGCTGCCGCACCTGCCGCCACATTGTTGCTGGTCTTTTTTGTCAATCTATTTCAGGGATAGTCTTTTTTGGCCATTCAACTTGGCAGGTGGTCCTTTTACACAAAAATTCAAAAATAATTTGCTGGCGGGAAACTCCAGCCAAACAAATGGAAATAGACAGTGATGGGGAATATGCAGCATTTACAGTCTACTTTTAACAAAATATGTAGCAAACCTCGTACTAAAAAGACTGCAAAAAGGTACTCCATACTATGGCTTCAATGTCAGGATTTCTTTGAAGCTCAGACAGTCAGTGTAGCAGCGCCCTGTGCTGAGGCACCAAGAATTTTACAAACACAGATAAACATCTGAATGTACAACGTAATTATGACTAGAATATCTATGTGTAGTATAATCTGTTTAGCATCTCTTCGTAAGGTCTCCCACCGCGCATTTGGGATTCAGTGTTAATTAGAATTCTCGCATCAACGACCGGTTCTGCGAATCCAAATTCCAACCGGATTACAGTCTCCTCAATGCAGCAAAGACAGACTAACTTGGTAGCAGAGCTAGAGGATCAGTGACCGTTCTGGGTAGAACATTATACCTTACTCGTAGGGTTCGACCGAGAAATCTGGCTCGTCCGGCTTCTTCAGTGTCGGCAACTCTTTTATGGCCTGAAGCCCTTTCCTGTTCCCAGCCATGACTTTCCCGGCCATCATTCTTAGAGAGATATTCTTCTTGGGTGGAGGGTCATCTTCACCATCCGAGTCTTCTGATCTCACGGAATTGAATGACTCCCTCATACTCAGGTCTTTCGCCATCTTCCTCCTCCTGTACCGCCGCCAGGCAGCTTGGATGAAGCACGCGCCCCAGGTTCTCCAATGGTGTGAGTAGTATCGGAAAGTGTGCTGCAACTTCTTGCTGTGCAACCGCCTAAATTGGCTGGCCACAAACTTGAGATCCTCAGCCTGGAGTGAAAAGGCCTCCACTTCTATTTGTGCCTTCACTGTGCGAGTGGATGATGGCAAACTAGCGGTCGGCTTCGGGACAAGAGCCCACCCAAGAAGTTCCTCACCGCAGAAATCACCAGCTTTCAGTGTAGTTGAATTGAAAAAGCCTGTGCGGCCACCATTTGTTGTGGAGCTCTCTAGTTTCCCACGGATGATGAAAAGCATCTCAGTCACCGGATCACCCTCACGGACAATGTATGTCCCCTTTGTGCACAGTGATGATACAAGACGCACACAGATGGCATCTAGAAGTTGGTCATCCATCTGGGAGAAAAACGGCACCTGAAACCTCGCAGTAGAAAGAGAGATTAGCATATGATAGTGATAACAAAAAGTCTAGTCCAAAAGGTGAACCTAGAAGTTCCAAACGTGCAGTCGTTATGTATTTGTACAAAAGCATGTAAAAGTATTTACCCGGCGAACAAGATCCAAGCAAAGGTGGCGTTTAATGTCACGTCGTAGATCTGCTGGTAAAACCTGTAATATAGACTCTTCATTCACACCTCGAGTTGCAAGCCACTTGTACTGGATAAATCGTCTAACTCTTTCCCGCAGTTCATCAGGAAGTTGGCGATGTCTCATCCACTCCTCCGTATCTCTTTGCTTTAATCTCCACTCCTCAACCCTCACAGTGATAGATTGCAAGTAGGTCTGGAATAATAAGAAAAATAATGTAAGACAATATATTCTAAAAAACAGTTTACATTAATACATTATGATTAAAATGATGAATTTCATGCTCATGAATAACGAACTTCTACAATGTAGAGAGCATAATTAAGTATGTATATAATGTACCTGCACATTTCCAATCAAATGCGCAAACAAGACAAGACCAAGTACTGCCAAGAATATACAGTACAGTGTCTCACCAATGTAGGTGCTCACAGAAAGTGTCTGGCCGTAGCAACTGTCCAGAAAAAGGAAGAAATATATGCCATGTTAGAGAACCACTTATCGATCCTGACAACTGATAATGACAAGATTAAAGGAACTTGTAAGTTAATTTTGCAATGTACATTCAACCGAAACTGAAAGAGTAAGATCCGAACACATTTTGTTTAACACATAATGCTCTGAGGTTCTCATCAGACCTTTCAACTTACACAAGTATATAACATTACCAAAGAGCTGCCTGTTTGTAAAGGGAATTGCAACCTAAGTTCCTCAGATAGCAGTTAGTACCCTACTTCGATATCAAGATGTCCACGACAGAAATACCTAAGATTCTGTAAACCCCACCAAAGGGAATAGAAGAACTTTCTCAAGAAACCCTGAGCAGGCGCTTGATTTGACAGTGCAGGCTGAAACATGCCATAGTCGAAGGTGATGTTGTCATCACTAGCATTGCAGCTGCTGAAGAGATTAGTCGTACTAGCCCATGTCTGATTTGGTGTATCACAGTCTAGGTACCTAATATTACAATCACTTTCATTCCTGCAATTCATTTTCCAGCAGGCTGTTTGGCGATCAACAGATAGCAAGTACCATAGTGCACCTAGAACCTGAATGAAAAGAACAGGGGTTCTAAGAAATTTGCTACATAAGAAAAAAAAAGGATGAAAACTTGAGCAATACATTTGACTTTAAATCAAACTTCAAGATACGAAACGATGAAAGGTTGCATACAGATACCGTACATGACTAGCTATCAAGTAAAGTAGCAGGTTGTACACAGCCCCTTCCCAGGCAGTCTTTGCGACAACTCCAGTAGCTTTGACAATTTCATAAGTTAAAGGGAATATGAGATATAGTCTTGGAAGATACTGAGCAAGAACTATAAGCACCAGAATGTTATTGTTATGCTCAGCACCAGAATACTTGATAGCTGGTATCACATACCAGACTATGATCTGCAGATAAGTAGAATAAATGCATGAGAAATTGAGATGCAGTGCTTCTAGGCGACTAGGCTGTACGGAACAATACATTTTCCCTTACAGAACATACACAATACACAACAATTGTATAAAAAAAACTCAATGATTATTCGTAAGCTCCACAATTTCTGCATTAGAATCTCGAATATCTTTTCCAAAAGAAATTCGGCCAGGTTGAACTACAGAGTCACATACTTAATACGAGCAGGTGCATGAACACACCATCATGTTGAGGCACCTCAAAGTTTTGAAAAATTAAGAAAAAAACTCTGTACTACAATCCACTCCACTGAAACTACAAAAGTTAATGTCTTTACAAGAAAGAATGTCTCTTTTACAGACAACCCCAAGGGCTGGTTTAGAGAGAACGGTTTGATGTCCATCATATTCTTAATTGAGACCAGTCCAATGTTGCACTCACACAGAACTATGTCTACTATTATTTTCAGAAAATGCCTGGACTGCAACTGCATCGAAGAAAATTATTTGAGTTCAATCTCATCTTACAATTTCATGCTTAATATAGCATATCTGCGTTAAATACGATCATATATTGCAAATACTTACAATCGTGACAAACATCCTAAAACCAGGGATCATTACTTCATTAGTACTGTTAATATTCCACTTATTAGAATAAAAAGGAAGACTAGCAAGTTACCTGCGGCAAAGGCAATGCAGCCACCACATCAATTGCAAAGTCAGATCTCAAATATTTCCATGCAATCTCTTTAGGGTCTGTGACAAGATCTCCTCTCCCGAAAACCCGCAAGGTTGAGCTAGTTTTAACAAATGCAGTTCTGAACTTCATTATGATGTGAATCACATACAAGAGATCGGCAATTGATCGGAAGAATGTAATGATGATGGTCAAATGCCTGTCTGTCCCAACACAGGAATAGGTGTCGCCATAGACGATTTTTGGCACGTAGAAGTACAGGGGATCTATAAATAGAGCAAGGAAGGACGAAAAAAGGAAAATGCGGTTCCACATCAAGATGAAGTCGCTAGATGGATCGAAAATCTTGTACTGCTGCGCATCCCCTCCCACGAAAATCTTGTTCTTCCCTGAGCTCGCAACGCCAAGTTTACTAGCAGCGAACGCTGCCTGTTTCTGTTGAATCGGTATCGCTGGCTTTCTCCCCTCGTCATAGAACCTGTGAATGGTACCAGCAAAAAAAGGTTGGACTCTAGTATCTGACTTGAAACATAAAATCATTCAGAACACGCGATAAATGCAATAGACTACTGTAATTCTTATTCCTCATTAACAATATGCATAATAGTTTTTTTATTATTCAGAAGAAATATTCTTCATTCTATATTAAGTAAGCAGAGGACCACTGTACTTCAAAACAGATTTAGTTCTCAATCAACAGCATTTGTTTATGTGATGCTGCCTTTTACTTTATCCATAAATGCAAATTCCCCACCGACCAGATCAACCAAAAAGGGGAAAAGCTCCATGCTAGTACAGCTTAACAACTCAAAAAAAAAAAATTAAGACACTACAACTGCATGCTCCAACAGACTAACCGCCGAAGCAGAGTCCTAATTGCTGGATCCCTGTATTTCAAAACGAATTGGGTTCTCAATCAACAGTTTTACTTTATGTGATGCTGCCTTTTACTTTAACACCGACCAGATCAACCAAAAAGGGGAAAAGCTCCCATGCTACGGTATGGCTTAACAGCTCAAAATTTAAGACACTGCAACTGCCTGCTCCAACAGGCTAACGATACGAATCAAACCGATGCTGCCGAGCCCCCAACCCCGAAGCTCGCGCCGAAGCACGGCCCCAAATGCTGGATCCCTGACCAAAAGCAGCAGATCGGGTAGAGAAGCTAGGCCGCCGCGGCTCACCTGACGGTCCTCTGCCTGCCGAGCGCCATCTCGTCCTCCACCTTCCTCGGCGCGAACATGGCGCCGGCCAGCCCAGCCTGCTACGCCGACCAGGGACCCCGCGACCGGCCCGCCATCCAATCCAAGCACCCAAAGGAAGCGGCCCTCGATCAGCGGCCGAATCCGGCCGCGACACAGCTGGTGGCTGGTCTCCTCCGCGTCGGCCGTGGGAGGGGGATTAAGGCGGGGTGGCGGGATTTGGGAGCCGGCGAGGGCGAGGAGTTCGAGGGGTGGAGGGAGGGAGGCGACGAGGTGGAAGGAGGACCCGGGGAAGACGACGAAGCGGAAACTGCCTGACCGTCTGGGGGTTGGTTAATCGCTTGGTTAGCGGCCGGTAATGCCACGGGGTTTGGGTTAAAGCTTGGGGTTAGTTAGTTAGTGGTGCACTTGCTACTTACCGCGGTGGAAATGGGGTAGGCTGAAGTGGTGGTGGCAAAGCGGGCGCGGAAGTGAAACTCCCCAAAATTTACCGTTTCCGAGATGAAGGAGGAAGATTTGAGGAGCTATTTCAATTTGAATCCGAATTCTAGAGAAAATGTTGGATTTGCCTTTTCTTTTTGCGAGAAGGGAATGTGGGCGAACATATACTGTACTATATGCCTATCAATTTATGCTCTTTTTAATGCTTTGTTCGTAGAGTAGTACTACTACTTAAAAGCGTCTTTTCAATTCTAGGGACACATGTAGCGTGCAGCCTTGCTAGAATCGGTAATGATTCTCAAATGGCAGCGACCACAATAC